TGAATTACGTGGAAATTTAAAAAATCCTGTATTTATGCCTCAAGCAGTATAGCTCTTTGTTTATCTAAGAAATTCATATTGGGTGCCTGGGTGGCTCAGTCGTTAAGCGTCTGCCTTTGGCTCAGGTCATGATCCCAGGGTCCTGGGATCGAGCCCCGCATCGGGCTCCCTGCTCCGTGGGAATCCTGCTTCTCCCTCTCCCACTCCCCCTGCTTGTGTTCCTGCTCTCGCTGTCTCTCTCTCTGTCAAATAAATAAGTAAAATCTTTAAAAAAAAAAAAAGAAATTCATATTTGATTATAAGCCGTTAGTGACAGTTAATGAACGAACTGTGTTGAATTTGGTGGTTATGTATGTACAGCTCTCAGAAGCTTACTTCTCTTGATATTTGAATAAAGAAACTGTTCTCATGAACACTGACTTATTCAGTTCAAGTAAGGTTTCTGCAGGATTACTGGTCTTGATCATCATGTTTATACCTTAAACGAAAGGTTTTAAACCCTGACCGCACGTTAGAAGCAGACCAGTTGAACTGGAAAATTTGGAGGTGGAGCTCAGGCACTGATATTTTTTAAAAGCTCCCCAAGATGATTTTAATGTGCAGATAGAATAGAAAACCACTGGCTTAGTCATCAGTAATTAAATGTATATCCCTATCATTTAGTTTCTGACATTCATATTTAATTTTCTCATGTTTAAGTAAATAAAATGACATGGCTATTTACAGGTATTTCTTTAAAGGAGGATGGATGTATGGTTTCCATTAATTCTATAGCAGATGGATCTGTGCCGTAAAGCAGAACTAGGAGAAGTTTGTTTTTAAATTGTGTGAAGTTGTGTCTGTTTTTGGCATGATGAAGTGCTGCCAATATTAAACAATATAGAATCCCAGAATGTTCAAGGTAAGAGGGACCCTCAAGGCATCTAGTAGAAGCAGGGTACACTTTGAAGCCAGTCCTGGCCTGCAGTGGTTTATTCACTTACTAGCTTTGTGATCACGGGATGTTCACTTAACCGGTCTGAGCCACAACTTCTTGATCGCTAAAATTGAGGTGAGTGTCTGCTCTATCTGGTGACAAGTGTGTGTTTCCTGTGCACGCACGCGTCTTGATTCCCTGCCTCCTGCCTGATCCCCAGTCCATCTGGTGCGGATCTCCAGAGCAGGGACTGTGCCGGAGGCTCCGCGGGGCTGCTGAGCCTGCAGGGCCAGCTGCTGGGAACGGCTTCCTCCCACTCCTCAGGGACCACTTGTCTGGCTCTGCTGGGACTGTTTCAGGCCTGGCTGTTTGGATCCCATGACCTTCTGTGAGCATCGCATTTAGTGTGCGGGGTCAGCACTGCTGGCCAAGCAGAGCGAAGCTGTTCCTGAGACTAGAGATGAAGATGGCTCCTGGTGCCTACGTGATGGCAACTTCTGAGTACCTTCTGTTTAACCCCAGACTATTCTTGTGCAGGACCCAGACCGCTGCCTCGTCTGTCCAGCGGTCTTCCTGTCCGGTGCTTCTTGGTGTTGAGCAGGGACAATAGGAGACCACTATCTCTCTCTCTCTTAGTTTGGGGTGAGCAGAGAAGAATCGCAGATCTCTTTGATTGTCTTTTTGTGAAAGGAAGAGTGGATTTTTGTCTTTTTCCCCATCCTTGTCTCTCAGATCCTCCAGCATCTGGCTATGAAATTATACGGCCACCTGGTTCTTCTGTTGCACATTCTTTGTGTCTTAGGAAGGTGGTTCATGGCTTGTTTCTTACTTCTTTTAACGCTTAATGCTTGGGGTCCTGATCTCAGCTGTGGTGCCTTGGTGTCCTTCCCACTTGTAAGCCTGCTTTCTAGGTCTGTCCTCAATCTTCATTTTCAAAATTCTGCTTTTATCACCATCTCTGGACTGATCTGAAGTTTTCACTGGAAATATTTATACTTTCTGCTGCCATTTTTTAAATTGTTTCTTCTGTCTACTGAAATTGGCACTCCCTTACGGGTAGCAGTAATGGTAGCTTTATTGATTTTTTTAGGTGATAAGAATCTTGAAACATTACACTTGGGGGGTGGACAGTCTAACTTGTGCTCCTCCACTAGATTACAAGACTCTTGAGGGTAGGAACCATGTTTTTCAGCTGAGCATAGTCATAACTATCATTTATTATGTATCTACTGTGCAACAGAGACTTTGCTTTATTTGAATTAATTTCCATGAAAAATAATGTCTACATAAGGAATTGATCTCGAGAGCTTAAGTAAACTACGCAAGGTCATCTAGCTAGTGAGTCACAGAGCTGGATTTTGAACTCACTTTGATATTAAATCTTCTTTTCTAAAATCGTGTTTCTAAACTCCCTCTTTAAGGAAGGGACAGATACAGGTAAGAGGAATGGGATCTTGGCCTGAGGACCTGTTGAGTAGGGGACAGGTGTGGAGTTGCATTCTTAAAGAAGAGAAGGTCGGCATATCTTCAAAGCCCCCGTTTTTCCCACTAATACACTGACTTGCATCACTGGTGTATGTGAACACTAAGAAATGTACCCTACGACTCTCCAGGAAGGAGTCACCCCTGTGGAAGGCTTTGGCCCCCATGTGGGTCTTCACTTCATGCTATTTTATTCAGGTCAGAGAGACACTGAGATTTCATGAAGATGTCTCTCACAAGAGCCATTAGTGAGCAGTCAGGGAAACTCTGGAGAGAATTCACTGAATCCACGGTGATAAGATGTTCTGGGGAGTCAGGTGTGTGTGGAAGTCAGCGTGACTTGCTGAGGAGGAGGAGACACTGCACTCAGCTTCCAGGCTCCTGGTTTAGACCCTCAGAACGTGCCCATTGGCTTCAGCAAGCCACAGGAAGTATGTAAATGCTTTCCCAAGTTGAAGCTTTGTTGGATATGCCCAGAGAATGTTTTCTTTTTAATGTATTTGGAAACTATAAATTTAACTCCTGCTGGGGAAGAAAAGTAATTGCTTCACAAAAGAAAAAAAGTCAGCTCTTTAAAAGGCTCCACTCCTTTTACAATCATGTGCTTTTTAATGACTGGGAAATTCCTGGTGCAGGAAAAAAAATGTCCTTATGTACAAATGAGGTCATTCTGGTCTTTACTGGCCCTGTGCACTCGAGTTCCTGCTTTCTGTTCCATGTTTTGTGACCAGAGGTTATTGGAAGGATAATCCCTCTGTGCATATTCACTGCTTTCAGGGCATGTTGCCAAAGAGAAAGTTATCTTAGCTCACCAACTGCCAAGCCAGCGCAAGAGGCCCCTATCCCAGGGGTACTGAGCTAGTGACTGATAACGACTTGGTTTGGGTTGGCCTCGCGTCCAGTTTTGTGAAAGCACGCTTTTCCTGTGCACTAGGCTTGCTGTGTCCGCTTCGTCCTCCTTAGATTTCTCAGCAGCTCCATTAGTTCTCGGTTCAGACATGATTTTTTTTCCTTAGGTACATTCTATTTACTTTGCTTTCATTCCATCCCGAAGAGCAGAGACATCTGTACCAGTTTGAAGCCTCCTGTTCATCTTTTTAACGTGATATAAATGAAAAACAGCTGTTGAAAGCATTCGCCCGGTACCTATTTCCTTGAACATTGGGAGGCTGTTTCCTCCTAAAATTAATTTCTGATTTGGTTTGGCTAAAGGGAAGCCTTAGATCTGCTCAGTGAAAGGGTAGCGTAGAATAGATTTCAGTGGATGCCCTTGATTTAATCGAAGTTCACTTTCCCCTGGCTTTAGAATAACCCTTTCTTGCCAAGATGGAGGCCGAAACTTGGAAGAGTATTGAGTAGGGAGGTTGCTAACTCTGTCCTGGATGTTTTCATAGAGAGGTGAATAGGGAAGGCATTCAAGGGAACCTGAACAACAACCTCTGCAGTCTTTTTTAAATTGTCTGTTTTAAGACAGTGACCTTTCTAGACCTCATCCAGGTTCGTGTGGTTAATCAGTGACAGCCCACGAGATTGCCAACTGCGGCCTCACATCTCGAGAACAGAGTGTCAGAGTCCTTAAATTCCCCTAAAATTCATCCATGGCTATAATGAATCAATCTTTTGATAAGCCTGTGATAGATTCTGCTCTGCCCGATTGACTCTGCATTTTTTTTTTTTTAAAGATTTTATTTATTTATTCATGAGAGACAGAGAGAGAGAGAGAGGTAGAGGGAGAAGCAGGCTCCCAAGGAGCAGGGAGC